GACAGCTCAATATCTCGAGAAATACGCATTTCACGGAAAAATGTTTTAAATAAAAGGTTAATGTGACCAAAGGTGACGGTGGTCTAGTGGTTAGTGTGGCTGACTACAAGCCGGAGGTCGTGGGTTCGAATCCCACCATGGGTATGGCTGTTTATTTATGTTTATATTTATGTTTGTCCTATTGTGTATTAGTCCTTCGGAGGGGACTTTAAGCCCGCGGTCCGTTCCTACCCCTAACCCGCACAAGCCATTCAGTTGGCTTATGGGACTTCTTAAGAAGTAAGGGTGGAACTAAAAGAGCACTTTTGTATATAAACTTTTTTAAAAAGGGGACATTATTTGGTGCCACCGCTAGCCACCCCCTACCCCTCCTTAAGGGTGAAACGGGGGGTAACTTTGGGGAGTCAAATGGGATAACCCTTTTTTTACAGATTTTGGTAGTACATACAAAAATTAATAACTTTTTTTAAAACTTTTTTCAATTTATCAACAGATGTAATTCAAAATTTAAGAAAAATGGGTTTCCCTGTAAAATTTATTATTTGAAACGTTTGAAAAACAAAAATTAACGTTAAATCAACAATAGTCGGCTCTGAAAACAATTTATAACAAATGTTCGAAATGTCGTCCTTCCATTTCGACACCAGCGTCCCTGGTCGGTAAACGTTTGGTGCGGTACCTTTGGCGAACGGCATTAAATGGTGAAAATTACCGGAATTTTCTAGAAAACGATCTGCCAGACTTCTTCCTGTGGGGTTACTTGAAAGAAAAAGTTTACGCTGCAATTCCTACAACTCGGGAGGACATGGTGGAGCCAGAATTCATTACCCGCATTCAAAAATGTGTCGAAATGAAAGGATTACATTTTGAACATTTGTTATAAATTGTTTTCAGAGCCGACTATTGTTGATTTAATGTTAATTTTTGTTTTTCAAACGTTTCAAATAATACATTTTACAAGGAAACCCAATTTTCTTAAATTTTGAATTACAGCGCCATCTGTTGATAAATTGAAAAAAAAGTTTCAAATAAAAGTTATTCATTTTTTTATGTACTACCAAAATCTGTGAAAAAATCGGGTCATTTCATTTGACTTTCAAAAGTTACCCCCCGTTTCACCCTTAAGGAGGGGTAGGGGGTGGCTAGCGGTAGCACCAAATAATGTCCCCTTTGGTCACATTAACCTTTTATTTAAGACATTTTTCTGTAAAATGCGTATTTCACGAGATATTGAGCTGTCTCAAGTTAAAAGAAACACCTATTATAGGTGTATAATACTAGATGTAACTACTCCACATAGATCCAACCATTTGATTCAAATGCGCAACATTTTCGGCGTAAAAAGTCTTACTTTATTAGTGTGGTCTTTGAACACATTTTTTTTTATTTCCAGTTTAAATTTCTATATAAAAAAATATAAACGAATTTGTATTTCATTCTAAATAATTTTTGTATTCATACTTAGGTACTTTTACCACGAGAGAAACGAGACGAGACGAGAGAAAGGCACTCTCGAGCGAGAAAAGAGTATTCTCGACGAGACGATGTGGGTCTCATTTTCTCTCGCTGCACGAGACGAGACGAGAGAAGGACTTTTCTCGTCTCGTCTCGTCCCGCGGCATCACTACATAACGATTATTATGTTAAGCAGGGTCTGGTGTTGGCACCGTATATAAAGGCGCTTACTATCAAAAAGGGCGGGTAGTTTTTTTAAAGGTTTATTTAGAACTATATTTCCTTTGGTTAAATGTGGTGTAAAAACATTGGGAACATAGGCAAAGTAAACCACCAAAAACTTCTTTTAAAGAGCGCTTTAATGAAACTACAAAAAAATTAGTTAAAGCCATGAAAAAAGTTGACGACATGGTGGGGTCTGGTAAACATAAAAAAAAAGAAAACGACTAAAAGAAATCACAAAGCATCAACCATTTGCAGTAAGAACATACGAAAACCTAAAAAACAAAAAACTTGAAGATATTTTTGGTTAAATAAACAAAAACTATGTCTTTTATCCATAATCAATCTTGTGAATGTATTAAAAGTGAACTAAAACTAGTACAGAGTCAGGGCAGTGGATTCATTATAAACCTATAGGTTTATATATTTCATCTCTAACCGATTAAGCACCCCTGGAATTTGTTATACCTGGTATAGGCGACAAATATTTGGATATGTCCCATAATTTAATAAATTTATTGCATATAGAAGCTAAAATATGTAAACCAGATAATTCCAGTTACAAAAATGAATTAGAGGGCGAAAAATCGATAGGTCCTGTAAATAATTTGCTACATTCAATGTTTAGTCAAGTTGATGTTTATTTAAATCAAAAAATAAGTTTGCCACCAAACAACACTTACGCATATAGATCGGATATAGAACTTTACTTAATTATGGCCCTAAAGCAGCAAAATTGCATCTTACTTCAAGTCTATGGTATTTAGATACAGCTAATTCAATAGATATATTAAAAGAAAGTAACATTGCACATACAAAAAGTTAACATTATTAAGTAAACGTGTTGTGTGATTGGTTTTGTATCAAATAGAGCGTTTAATTGAGATTATACGAAAAATCCATTCAATTTTAAACACTACAATATGAACTTTTTGCCTCTATATATTTGCTGTGCATCAATATATATATTGATGCACAGCAAATTCCTTCTTAACGACTTCAGCCGAATTTTGATAGTAAGAATTATATAAGATCGTATAATACTTTATTTTCGGGTACTGGTATTTATTTTTAAAATAATGATCTATTCACAAGTAGAGAGGAATATCCTAATGGGTACTGCCACCAAACAACACTTACGCATATAGATCGGATATAGAACTTTACTTAATTATGGCCCTAAAGCAGCAAAATAGCATCTTACTTCAAGTCTATGGTATTTAGATACAGCTAATTCAATAGATATATTAAAAGAAAGTAACATTGCACATACAAAAAGTTAACATTATTAAGTAAACGTGTTGTGTGATTGGTTTTGTATCAAATAGAGCGTTTAATGGAGATTATACGAAAAATCCATTCAATTTTAAACACTACAATATGAACTTTTTGCCTCTATATATTTGCTGTGCATCAATATATATATTGATGCACAGCAAATTCCTTCTTAACGACTTCAGCCGAATTTTGATAGTAAGAATTATATAAGATCGTATAATACTTTATTTTTTAAATAATGATCTATTCACAAGTAGAGAGGAATATCCTAATGGGTACTGCCCGCCAAGGTTTGATTTAAATCCGGATCTTGCTGCAAATACTATGACTCACTGGAATGTCATTCGCAATGGTAGTTTGCGTTTGGAAGTGCGTTTTAAAGAAGCCCTTCTTAAAACAGTTAATTGTATTATTTATGCTGAATTTGATAGTATAATTGAAATAGATAGGAAAAGAAATGTAGTTGTAGAATATAGTAGTTCATTTTAAAAATTATGCATTTATAATAATAATAAACCCTAAATACCCCTCCGTAAACCTGTACTTTCAACTTTCAACTTAAATTTGTTTGTACCTATAATATTTTAGTATAACTGTTTGTACCTTCAAACATAAAAGGTTAAAAATTCGTTCTTATGAAATTCTACATATTCACACTCGTTTTTGCCAACATACTTTCATAAAGGAGTTTTCGCTTTAAATCGTATACCAAATTATATAAGTAAACCGTGTGCTGTAGTTATTAATGAAGATCCTGATAATATGCCTGGAAGTCACTGGGTTGCTGTTTTTATTAATAGCAATGGTTAAGGATATTTTTTCGATAGTTAATATTATAAAAAAGTTTTTAAATAAGAATTCTAGAAAATGGACATAAAATAGGAATATTCTTCAAAGCTTATTTTCAACTGTTTGTGGTCAATATTGTATTTTATACTTTTAAGTAAGAAATACAATCGAAATAATTTTTATAATAATAATAAAAATGATAATGCTGTAAGAATAATGTTTCATAAAATAAATCAAAATACATTTTTTAAAAGTTAAAAATAAGTTTTATTTTAAAATTGTAACGAAGTTACTTTTTCCCTATCCCTACCCTGTGTTACAGAATCCCGATTTAAATGATTTAATTCACGTAAGTCATAAACAACCCCGGAATAGCCCATATGTAGCGCTACCACCGGAATGACCCGTATGATAGTTAAAGCGCACAGCAAAAAGTAGCAAGATTGTTTACTTGTGCCCTTCTACGAAATTCCTTTTAGCGTTTTTATCCGGAGCTCGACGCCGAGAGCACCGTCATACCAAAAGATTTGCCACAGAGCCATGATTGGTCAAGCCTGACATCATGCTGGAGAATCGCGCAGCCCGCCATAGGAGGGAGACCAGAGGGCATATAAGCGGGCGCAGCGCCTTCGAAGGGATCACTTCTCATCACTTCTGAATTATTTCTGCAGCAGCCGGGACACCGACCGACCGCCCGACCGTCCGACTGCCAAATATAACGTAAGTTGTTATATCTAATTTTCTGTTTGTTTGTTTGTTTCAGAAACTCCACTTTTATTTTCGTATTATTCTTTGTAAAGTCTTATTCCATTTTATTTATTGTTTTGTACATAAGAGGGATTATTTTAATATATGTATTAACCGAACCACTCAATTTATTCATAAATTCCCCGGAACCCTGGAATTTTATCTCCACTGTTGACCCTAAAAGCTACCCTCGCACATAGTGGAACTTCAACCACTTTAAACCCGTTGAAGTTGGCGCCCGAGATTTTATTAGAAAGTCAGCAAGGTAAGTGACGCCAAGCATAAAAAGGAAAGTTTTCCCCCGGGAAATAAAACCCCTTTTACAAAATAGGTAAACAAAATAAAACTAATAAAAATAAATAAATAAACAAAAAACAAAATACTATACAATAATAATAATGATAATATTAAATAAAAATGTTTTTTTAATATAATAAATAAATAAACTTTGATAAATATAAATAAATAGCTATACATTTTAATATACTTTTATTTATCTAAAATCCAACCGTACATCCAGAAGGGGGCTTACTGTCTTCTTATTCTGGTTGGAGGGTTCTTCTAGCTGAGGTGTTTCTTCTGACTGCGGGGCCTCTTTATAAATATAATAAATAAATTTTAATAAATATAGATTTAAAATATTTCTATCATTCTAAAATCTAACCTTTTATCTAAAAGAGGGGCTCATCTAGCAGTCTTCTTCCAACGGAGGAGGTTCATCGGAGGGAGAGGCGTCTTCTTCTGGTTGAGGGGTTTCCATGGGCTGAGGGGTTTCTTGATGATATACCAAAACGTTTTGGTTTACCAAAGGGTCATTGTATCCGTAATGTACAGTATCGAAACTATTTTCAACCCGTTGTCTTTTAGTATAGCATTTACGATAAATTTTATTCTCCGGTCGCGATATAACATTATAATTTGCTGTTATACAAATTTTACGACTGTTGTGGACATATATTGCTTCAGCATTATCACATACCTGGGCTTTTAATTCATCAAAATTTACGGACTGAGTATTTTTATGATTAAGCGTTTTACTTTACAGAAAGTCTTGTATTCATTTTTATCCAGACAATATACTTTATTTGCATAATTTTTAGGGCCTCCACTTACAAATTCAATAATATTACTACCCGGACCATTGGTTAGCAGTCCCAAGTAATCGCCAACCTCTGGTAAGAATTCACCTGATTTATGTGTAAATATAACACTATCTGTGTCAAGGTAAAGGACTCTCCTAGTGGTTAGTGCTGCTGACTACAAGCCGAGTGGTCGTGGGTTCGAATCCCAGGGGTAAGGATTTTTATTTATGTTTGTCCTATTGTATATTAGTCCTTCGAAGGGGACTTTAAGCCCGCGGTCCGTTCCTACCCCTAACCCGCTCAAGAAAATCAGTTGTCTTCTGGGACTTCTTAGGAAGTTAGGGTGGAACTAAAAGAGCACTTTTGTATTTTTTTTGTATTCCAGCATGCAAGAAAAACATCGTCACTAATAATTACCAAATTATTAACAATGATAGAGGGTTCTGTAAGCATGTTAAATAGTTTAATGGGTTCACTAATAATACTTGTCTGCATCAGGTTTAGTCTCTGACCAAATTTCCCCCAAAAACTATTTAACATGAGTTTTGCCATAAATCTAATACCCGGATTATTTGATATTTTTAAGATACCCAGCAAAATACTTTCATAGGCTTTTGTGTAGTACACCAGTTAGGCCAGCCACTACACTCTTATTTAATTTTTAAAAATTTATCAACATATTACTTTGTACTCCCATATTTCATAAATTTCCAAGACTTTATAATTTAAAGAAATGGCTTTCCGCAATTCATCAGCCACAAAGGTACCAGAGAACTTACGTTCGTCGTCTGTGTGAATACATTGCTCTTATTTCATTGTATCCACACAGGTTTTACATAACGGAAATGTAAGCTTTACGTTTATACGGTAGTACATGGTGTTATAAAGTTGGAGAGGGTAACACAGAACATTTAGACCTTCCACCGAATTCATTGGTAATTTTCTGCAGTCTTTGTCACTGATGTGAATTTGAGGGTGTTCCACAGGATACTTTCCATATTTGTTTATAAATGGATATAACGAGCAACCATCAAAATAACAGATTTGTTTGTTTTCATCTGAAACTTTATAATATTTTCTTGTAACATTTGTGCGACCAACAAAAAAACTGTATCTTGGATTTAATGGTAAATCTGAATATTTAAAATTATTATTAATGTAACGTCTTACTACTTTATTATTTTTTAACAAATACCTAAATTTGCATCCTCTAAAGGATTCCACTATATATCCTGCTTTTAAAAGTCTATCCATTTAAGCTTCAGTTTACTCGCGTCTTGTAAACATCAAATTATATTCTTCAGTATTATTCTGAAATGATGTGGTTTGGTGTGGGAAACCATTTTCGCAACCATGAAAGTAACATTAACATATTTCATTTTAACCAAACTTCCCGATCATTACCAACAAGTATTATTTTTCCTGGTTGTACAGCCTCTTTCCAAAACAACCACTTAAGCGCTATTTCGGATTGGTTATCGGCACGCCTATATCCATTAACCGGAATAATGCCTTGTCTCGGGTTGTAAAAAAAATTACTTTATTGCATACACTGGCTTGAAAGGGATCGATATTGTTCGATTTTAAAAAACTATCTCTAAACTTAATACTTGGTTTCCTTAAAATTGCGACATCTAATATGCAGTACTTGACTAACTCTTATTTAAAATTAAATAAAACGTTGTTTGATGCCTGCTCATTATACCATTTGAAAAATTTAGTTCTGGATACCGTATCCATTAAATCAGGCATATAAAATCGTTGTTAAAAGTGTGAAAAATACCCCTTAACCTACTCAAATTTGAAAGCACTTGGAAGTTTACTTAATGGTAAAGGCATATAATTTAAGCTTTTAGTAAATTTAATTACACGTAATCGCGACAAATGTACATCTATTACTAATTATAGATGGATTCCATCTATTGACATCTCGTAAAACATGTTTCGTGAAGAAACAAATATTAAATTTTTCCTCAAACTTATGCAAATATTCCTTAAGGGAGCTAACTGGATTATTTAAAAAAATATGTTGGTGGGCATTTAGAACAAACCTGCTATACGACACATAAATTTGGTTCGTGTAAAAACGTGTTATTGGACATATTTTTTCCTGCATGCATTCAAAATCATAGAATACAAACAGAAAATGGTTCTCTATAGATTGTTTAGCTTGTTCGGATAGTTTATAAGGCCGCATATAACAATTATGTCCTAATTTTTTAATAGTTAAACAAATTGAACAAAAAGCATATCCTAATCTATGCTTATATTTAGTCCAATAACTATTTAAACATTTTGCACATCTATGTATTTTGGAGCAGAGTTTTTCTTATGATTATTTAAACATTAAATACCTTTAAATGTCCTTTTACACGCCTCGCAAATTATTTTATCCATTTCAGTTCTACATGGAGGTATGATAATTAGGGCATATATGGGGCAAAATTTACCAAGTGTACCAGGTGAAAAAATTTGTGTCACCGATTTTGTTTAAACTTTACTTATTTGTTGTTCTTATAACGAAGAATCATAGCATAAATTTTTTTTGCTCTAGAATTTTTCATTCAAAAGTTATGGATTATTGAAATTTATCGATTTTTTACTTTTTGGTGAAACCGCTTTTTATTTAAAAATTCCTAACTTCTGTTCATCTCTTTATTAAATATTTCAATTTAACCACCGTAAATGATTTTTTCCGTACTTTTCAATGGGCTATACCGTTTTTGCAAAAAAATAAAAATTGCAATTTTTTTTTAAATTTTGCAAAATTTTGCATTTTTTGAAACAATGTGTATTTTTTAATTTTTTTTAAAATAGCATAAAATCCAAGTTTATTATGTTACCTTTGAATAAAAAAAAAAATTTAGAGTGGGCCCGACATGTAGAAGGGAAGTTTTTCATATTTGAAAAGCCGCACGGTCTAGCCATCGAATAGCTACTACACTGCCGTATGCGTTTATACCTAGTAGATGCGAGTAAACGAATACAAAATGATAATTTAAAATGTAAAATTATGTTTGAGTAGTCAATGATGTATTTACACTGCCGCACGATATAGTTTTTTAACTGTATTTTTTTGCACAAATTGTTTAAGCATGGGTCTACATAGATTTCGCAAGGAGGATCGATGATATTAAATAAAAAAATTATTGTTATAACCGTAACGGCTTGCCTATAAGCTGAATGGCGCATTTACGGTTATAACAATACATTTTTTATTTAATATCATCGATCCTCCTTGCGAAATCTATGTAGACCCATGCTTAAACAATTTGTGCAAAAAATACAGTTTATATACAAAAGTGCTCTTTTAGTTCCACCCTTACTTCTTAAGAAGTCCCATAAGCCAACTGAATGGCTTGTGCGGGTTAGGGGTAGGAACGGACCGCGGGCTTAAAGTCCCCTCCGAAGGACTAATACACAATAAAAAAAACTATATCGTGCGGCAGTGTAAATATTTAAAATACATCATTGACTACTCAAACATAATTTTACATTTTAAATTATCATTTTGTATTCGTTTACTCGCATCTACTAGGTATAAACGCATACGGCAGTGTAGTAGCTATTCGATGGCTAGACCGTGAGGCATTCAAATATGAAAAACTTCCCTTCTACAGGTCGGGCCCACTCTAATTTTTTTTTTATTCAAAGGTAACATGATAAACTTGGATTTTATGCTATTTTAAAAAAAATTAAAAAATACACATTGTTTCAAAAAATGCAAAATTTTGCAAAATTTAAAAAAAAATTGCAATTTTTATTTTTTTGCAAAAACGGTATAGCCCATTGAAAAGTACGGAAAAAATCATTTAAGGTGGTTAAATTGAAATATTTAATAAAGAGATGAACAGAAGTTATGAATTTTTAAATAAAAAGCGATTTCACCAAAAAGTAAAAAATCGATAAATTTCAATAATCCATAACTCTTGAATGAACAATCCTAGAGCAAAAAAAAATTATGCTATGATTCTTCATTATAAGAACAACAAATAAGTAAAGTTTAAACAAAATCGGTGACAAAATTTTTTTCACCTGGTACACTTGGCAAATTTTGCCCCATATAAGGACATTTAAGATGATACTTTTTGTTTCAATAACGTTTTTTACATGGTTTACAATAGTATGATGTTGCAAAGGCTTAAGCTTATTATAAGGTTATAATGGTTGTTACCTAAAATTAAATTTATTGTTTTACGTCTATTCTATTCTATCACTGTACACAACAATCGTAAAATCGTTTAAATAATCTTGAAAACTTTTAATGTGATCATGTTCCCCCGTTCAAAATATCAATACCCAATGCTATAGCATAAGCAAGACAATAGTTATCATTATTATAAATAGTTACGATACCTCGCTTTTTGGCATAACAATCCTGATACGTTAATCCTTTTAAAGTCAGTCTTGCTCCACTACCATTGGGCATCTGGAACCGATCAATTGTCAGTAAATTATTCGTAAAAAAAGTTTCCATTACTGTGCAAAACTTCTCCTCCTTAATGATATTGGTAACGGCCTATCGGGAAAATCGGCGTTGAAAAAACTGATACCGACCCTATCAGTATTTGCGAATCCACCCATACCATTATTTATTAGTTTGTTTAAACCTCTCTAAAAATAAAATTATGATATATAATTTTGTTATTGTTTTTAAAAAGAAAAATTGTTTTTAATTTTAATATTTATTAAACATTTTAAACAGGATTAATACAATATTCGTTTTATTTCCCTTCTTAAGAAGGGAACATAAACTATAGAAATTTATTGGGTAATATATTTGTCGATTCCAAGAGGTTCTGGTGTTGCTTGTTTTAAATCTATTACTAAATATTCGTGTGGTTTAGAGGAGCGTCTCTATATGCTCCTTGAATAAATCTTGCATTTTCCGGAAATATTTGATTAGCTAGATGTGAAATTTGTGCTTTGTCACGAGGGTTTTTAAAATAAATTATATAGTTGGCGATTAACGAAATATCCCTCTGACCTTTTCCTTGATGAAAAAGATTTTGTGTTATGTAAAATACACTTAAATTTCTATGGTGGCTTTCTTGCATTTGTATCTAAAACCATATCAAATCTATTTCCTATGCTATGAATTAAATTTATAATAAAAAATGAATTCATCAAAATATAATATTAATATAATATATATAAACAAAATTTATAAATAATAAAAATTTACATCAAATATAATTTCTTAGTATAATTCACAATTATGATTAAAAAAAGCATAATAACAGCGAAAACCATAGTGCATTCAATTTACTCTCAATGTGTTTTTCTGAAAAAAAAAATAGAATTAAAAAAGGTATGAACGGCTGTAAGTAAAAATAAATGTGTGAATTATTCCCAAAAAATACATTTTTTTCAAGGCCCAAGGGGAAAGCACAAAAAAGTTTCTTTTTTTTACATTTCAAAAATGTTAGGCTTTAGGATTTTTTAAAGTTTCGCCTTTATGTGAACAAGCCATATAAGAGAACATTGAAGAAGAAAATACAATACAATTGCCTGTCAGTGGCGGACTAAATCCGTCGGGGGCCCGGGGCGGTAAAATAAAATGGGGCCCCTAGTCTGCTTATGAAATAATGTGATTGTTTTGTAAATATTAATGTTTTGTTATTTTAAATTTGTTAGTAGATCCTCTTAGCAAGTCCTTTGCAACACTCTTAATGTAATCAGGGATATAAAAAATTGATTACAAGCTTTTTCCAGCGAACTTTAAGTATACTTATATTTGAACTTGTTAATAATTTAAATTTTAAAAATCATGGCAGTCTAAGATTTTTTCTAATTCGTGATGGATTGCAGCTAGGGGCTCCCGAGACTAAAATATTAAAAATTTAAGGGTCCAAATAAACATTATACACAAAAAGAACGGATTTTTTTCATTTCGAAAAATGACTTTTGCGCCACCTTGTATTAGGTTTTATATAATTTACAGAATTGTATATGCTATATACGCGTATATTTATAGCCTATCACATTCTGAAGTAAATTATATAAAACTTATTATTAGTAAGTAGTACCTAAATTTTGTTATAAGTAGAACTTTCCCAAATAACTAAATATAAAAAAGAAGTTTTAACTTTTTTGTGCTCGCTATTTTGGCCTTGAAAAAATTTTTTTAGGAAAATTTCACACATTTATTTTTACGTAGTACGGCCGTTCATAAAGTTTTCCATTTTTTTTTAATACAATGACAGTAAATTTAATTCAATTATGGTTTTTGCTGTTATTATGATTTTTTCAATTATAATTTTAAATTATATATTAAACATATTAGAAAAATCGAGAGGAAAATATGTTTTTGTGTTTTATTTTTAATTTTTATTATTATTAAGAAAAGTTCTTAATTATTTGTTGATATTATATAAATATTATATTTTGTTTGAAATTCATATTTTATAAGCTGATTAATCAATTTTTTTAACAATAAAAACTACAAAATGTGTATTTTTGCTGCCAATAAAAAAGTGCCTAGTAATTTTTTTCTGGTCTCATTTTTTTTCTTATACCTTCTAAAGGCATATTTAGCTTGCAGATTGGAGATTCTCCTATATAACCATATAAAAATCTAATATGGAGGTAATAGAAAAAACAAAATATGATGGTGGTAAAACAAAATCTAGTAGCCGAAAAAAATCACAAATTGAATTAAAAACATTTATGTATTTATGTCTCTATGTGAAATTTACTTTTTTTCAAAATTCCAGAAAATAACTAAATTATAAAAATTTTTGGTTTTTATTTTTTTCAAATTAATTGAGAACCTCTGATTTTTGTACACTTTTTAAATGCCACTTTAAAAGATAATTACGCAACTTTTTTAATGTGACCGACCTTGTAGCTCTTCAAATAAAAAGATACATAGAATGATACTAGGTTCATTCTGTATAGAACTTTTGCATATAGTTGAATTAAAAAAATGGGTGATGTTTTTGTATTCTTTTTGTATGTATAAATAAAAAAAATTATTATAAATATATATACCTAACACAAAATTAAAATACAAAAAAAACAAAAAACCCTTGTGACACCTGAGTAAAAAGCTGATAACTTAATTATTTGGTAAAAGTGTTTGATATTTTTTTAATTTTAAAGTTAAATCTTTTTTTACATATACATACGTTGGTAAGGGGACATCTGACAATTACGTGAGATAAAATTAAGAGGGGATGGGTCTAGAAAAATTTCACCAAATCTCATTTTAAGGAGGGGGGTCATTGAACTTCTCACGTCATCTTTTGAGTTTAAAGAATATGTATAATATTTCAATTTTGTTAAAAAAATTAATCTTTTTTTTAATTTTTTTGTGGATTATCATGTTGTCACCAAATTATCAGAAAAATACCTCACGTAATTAATGGATCTCCCCTAAGGTAAATATCGTAGGAATGGGGTAAAACCTTTTTGGCGACGAAAACGAAATTTTCCTCTCGCTTCAAGACCGTGTATAATATCGAGAGTATGGAAAATTGTCAAAATAAACAGCTCTACAAAACTGTTTAAATTAATTTATTTTGTGTCGTTTCGTTAAAAAAACTGTTATCACCAAAGTTGAGAATTTTTGAATTTAAACTGGTCATTTTTAAACGAAAAGAGACGGACAATTTTGGTTGAAATTTTTGTAATCAGCGTGCTCGAATTGGTTAATAAGGATGAGCAAAAAATATTTGCGGCAGATTGGATATTTTTGTCGAAAAAATATTCCACACGAAATTGACCACTTTTGACCCCGACCCCTTTCGATTTGGCTAAAACTTTTTTATCTTTTTCTACCTGGTCAAAAACATTTTCACAATCTTTTTACAACTTTTTAAAAATTGAGCTTGACTTATCAAAACGTTTTTTTTTTTCAAAATTTTTCATATGTACTGTAGCGGAACAGCGGATTTGGAGTAAAACTCAATGTGCAAGAGGGCTATGATTGCTGGGTGGCTAGTCCAGCTCTTCTCAGGGTTTGTTGTGTTTTAAGAGTTTTACTAAATAATACAAAAATTGCTCTGGAAAATGATTTAATTCCAGCACCCATCAAAACCAGAATACGTGTAAATTTCTTACAAAATGTATTTACAAAAATACAAGAATAATTAATTAAAAGCCCAAACTATGCATAAAGTTAAATCAACACAAGAAAACGTGGATATACGACACGAAACAAAAAATGTAAGTACAGATTAAAATTTTTAATAAATATATAAAAGTAAATAAACTTACCTACAAAAATACGACCGGGGACGTGGTTTAAATATGGTTAAAAATTTCCAACGGTTATTTAAGAAAACTTAGCCGCCTTTTAAGGTTTACACGTTGCTAAATTTATGCGAAATTTACCAATGGCAAGATTTTTTGCACCCAGGTTATAAAAAACCAAGACGACGTAGGTAATCTCAAAGTAATGTCGGTTGCCTAACTGTGGAGATCAAAATTGTTTCTCTATAGTACTGAACATTGTAAATTTAGATCTCTGTTTTTGTGCTTCATTTCCAAAATTTTCTTCTTGAGCAGCTCAATTTCAGCCGGACATACATCGGGACCTCCTTGACCAACAATTTGTTGCCTAGGATTCTTAATTGTCTTTTTAAGATCGTTCATTTCGGCAACCTTTGAATCCTGATTAACCAAAGGCTTATTCTTTGCTCTGCATATCTTAAAGTCGACAGGGTTTCACTCTGCTGGCTTGCGTAAGTCCTGACGATTACTTATAACAAATGGTCAGGACTCACGCAAGCCTCCATACTAAAATACGGTTTCCGCCCAAGGAATCTAAAACACTTTTAAATATACAAGCAGAAGAAAAAATAAAGGTAAGGTACCCTATGTATTTTTGTAACCCGATTCTTTAAGTATACTAAAATACTTATTTTGGCATATTCGTGATCATCTAGTTAGTTAATTTACTTACTTTATAAAAATTGAGACTCTACGTTGTGTATTTACGTACACCTCTAGAGAATTCTCACCAAACATGAGCTCTTAATTTTGATAACAAGGTCCTCCGCTTTACAATTTTCCATTTTTTCCTCAGTATTAGAAACAAAAATTTATATCTCTTCGACAGCTGTTCGTTAAAAAATAACTCTCCACACTTGTAGAAAATCGAACGCTATACAAAAAAGGTCTTTTACAATTTTTTCGTAAACCTCACCGTTAAAAAGATATCGAAGGTTAAAGTTAATTATTTTAAGAGAAATTTCCGTTTTACTTATACATTTTATAACTCGCTTACAAAATTTTTTTATGAATAGTTTTGTAGGAAATTAACTGCTCTACAAAAATGGTCTCTTATGATTTGTCGATTAAATTAAGCGTTTAAAAGATATTCATCGTTTCATTTATACAAATTCGAGTTTCTATCGTAAAAGTAACTCTTATAGAAGTTTCCCTTTCGAAAATTTATTTGAGACTTTTTTATTTTAATAATATTTTCATGAAATTTATCTTTATAATAACTTAAAATCATAAGCAATTTAAAGTTGTTAATGATTCGGCAGAGCGAGCTGTTGCATTAGTCGATGATTATAACCAATGCTTAACAAAAAATGAAGAGCAATTTCAATATTTATTGCAAGAACATCGCAAATAATACCCAAATTGTAATAAAGAAAACTTTTTACAGTAAAAGCATACGATTATATTATAAATGTTAAATTTTTTATTTCAGTTGATAAAATTAAATAAAAAAAACTTTTTAATAACAAATAGAACATTTTTTTTTCTTCAAGATCAATTCTTTTCATATTAAATTTATGACAAAAACGTTATTTTTTCAAAATTTAATAAATCATTGACTCTGAGTTAGAAATAATGCACTATTTTTCTTTTCAATATAACCAAACATATGTAGGACTAAAAAAAACGAGAAAAATAGTTTCTCTTTTCATAGGAACTCAAATTTGTATAACTAAAAAATTAAATTGAAATTTTTCGAATTATTCATCAAAAACTGTTAAAATTAGTATGCATTGAAGTTTGACGATGAATATCTTTTAAACGCTTAATTTAATCGACAAATCATAAGAGACCATTTTTGTAGAGCAGTTAATTTCCTACAAAACTATTCATAAAAAATTTTTGTAAGCGAGTTATAAAATTCATAAGCAAAACAGAAATTTCTCTTAAAATAATTAAACTTTAACCTTCGATATCTTTTTAACGGTGAGGTTTACGAAAAAATTGTAGGAGACCTTTTTTGTAGAGCGTTCGATTTCCTACAAGAATATGAGGAGAGTTATTTTTTAACGAACAGTTGTCGAAGAGATATAAATTTTTGTTTCTAATACTGAGGAAAAAATGGAAAATTGTAAAGCGGAGGACCTTGTTATCAAAATTAAGAGCTCATGTTTGGTGAGAATTCTCTAGAGGTGTCTAGTAACCGATTTTTCAGAGTACAAAGTAAAAAAAAATGGTCGGTTTTTTTGACCCACCCTAATGCTGATACGTTTAAAGGTAATCCTGGCAACTCATTTATTAAAAAATTAAGGTGGTGTTTCCCTGTGAGGCGATTCTTCATGATAAAAGGGCCAATTAAATACCCAGCCATCATAGTACACCACACCTTTACTGAAAACCTGTGCTGAAAATTGGTTTTGACTATAGCATAGGGATTTTCGTCAGACCATACGTGAGAGTTGTGCGTATTATTAATGCCGTCACGGGTAAATGTTGCTTCATCAGTAAAAAGTATACGCGATACAACTCTACGATTGTTAGTTACCCACCGACAAAATTCCACACGTTTACCATAATCTTCCGGGTATAGAAACTGTACTTTTTGTAAATGGTATGGGTATAAGCCTTGCTCGTGAAGTGTGTGTATTACCCGTTTTTGTGAAATGTCCAATTGAGTAGCGATTCTTCTGGTGCTGGTCGTTGCATCTTCTTCCACTAGATCCAAAATATTTTCCACTTCTTCTAAAGTTTGTCGATCAGCTTTTTCAGATGTTATTTTAGCACTTGGAAGAGTTCCAGTCTCGCAAAGTTTGTTAAAAACTCGAATAAACACGTTTTTGTCAGGAGCTCTTTCACGTGGAAAACGTCGCCGATATTCTTCTACAGCAGCTGTGGCGCTGCCATTACAAAAGCCATAATCAAAAACCATATTAGCATACTCTAAATTTGAATAAACGTTTGGCATTTAAAAAAACTGGAAAATTACAAAAATACCACTGACGCTGACAGTTAGGCCTTTTAAATGTAAACAATATATTATATAACATATATGTATAACTATGGAAACAAAAACTTTGTTTCCATAGTTTTTTTTAATTTCGCTATAACGTGAAAACAAATAAGAATCGGATAAGAACAGTTGAGTTTTTTTTTATTATTTTGATGTGTAGAATGCAGTCCTAGAGTTTAGTGCGATCCTTCCGATTCACCCTGTGTATAATAAATTAATAATAATTGTTTTAATTTGTATCACATAATACATTTGTTTTAAGCCGGGTCTACAATTGTCGCCGGTCGCAGAACATAAGCTAGCTTAAATAATAATTAAAAATATTACAGCACAGAATATTATTTAGTACTTTTATTTTTGTAAAGTCGGGTCTACAATTATCGCAGGGGTCCGATCGCAGAACATAAGTTTGCGCAAAGCACCCTGCGACGTGCAAGGTTCTTTTGTCAGCTAGGTGCTTTGCGCAAGCTTGCGCAAAGCACCTAGCTGACAAAAGAACCTTGCACGTCGCAGGGTGCTTTGCGCAAACTTATGTTCTGCGATCGGACCCCTGCGATAATTGTAGACCCGACTTTACAAAAATAAAAGTACTAAATAATATTCTGTGCTGTAATATTTTTAATTATTCTTTATTCATAGGTATATAGTTTATTACGTCAAATATAATTTCTTCTTCTGATTCTGATTTTCTTAACTTATACATGTTAACATTAAATAAATTTAACATTGTGGTGAATGGATTAAACGTTGTGCAAGATCCACCGCATTTTTAATAACAAGGAACTGTACCAGATGTCGCCAGTCACTAGGTCAACAAATAAATTTTATTAACGAAATTGTGTTATCCCCATATACCTATAACCCTAAACCCTGGTTTAGGCCTATAACTCCTATACGGGTAAACGACTTACCACGCCCCTTGCAATTATTAAGAGACAGGTATATGCACAATCCATTGTGGGTATATGTATCTATCTCAAATGGTAAAATGTTTCCAATGCGCATGCTACACTATCAATATACTACAGCTTGCCTTGTTTCTTTTTTATTGTCTTTTAGAGGATTTCTTTATTCAAATTTTACTGGTAAATATGGTAAAAATATAAAAAATATCTTTTTTAAACGTTAATGTTTTTATTATCTAAATAATTTTAGCCTAATTGTAGTAATTTAAAACTACAAAATTATTATTTAAAAAAAGTATATAATCTGTCTTGGTCAATTTGGCAACAATGCTCTGGTTGTTTATTATTTTGTGTTTACGCCTGTGATTCTCGTGTATTTTTCTTTTATTTCTTCTGTGTGATTAATAAAACTTATATTACTATGCCTTCAATTAAGTATTGTTACCTTTGTGGTAAAGTAGAAAATACAAAACAAAAACAATGTTTTCTTCTTCTTCTTCTTCTTCTTCAAGTTGGGCGGACTTACGGCTCAACCACCGCCCTTATGGTCGTGGACAAAAATCCTTATTAACCAGCTACTAGTTTTAACGTCCAATGATTTCAGAAGAACCAAAAACCATTGGACAACGGTTGTCTAACAAACACGTGGACACAAATAGGTTATGTAACCTTGAAATTTTAAATGTTCATATAAATTCCTCTATTCCTTTAAAAAAGGACAAAACGAGGAATATTATCTAGGACTGGAATCCGGTTTTGTCCTCCCTGAGTCAAAGTCAACTATATTTCACACTTTTTCATGGAGCTAAGGCTTAGCGTATCGCTCGTGCTTAGCTGCTAAGCACGAGCGATACGCTTCTCACCGAGGACAAATTCGAACTCCCAACAATGTTTTCGACCAAAGAGGTTATAAATATTAGGTTATAAGAAAATGACAAGGAAAAGAATTTTTTGATTTGGCGAATTTAAAAAACCGGGCGTGGTATATTGTAACGCACATGCGCAAAAGTTTCCATTTAACAATTGAAATAAGGGCATCTTTCTTTTACGGCAAGAACTTTTGCACATTGAATGAATTGTCGGTTACCCGTATAGGAGTTATAGGTATATGGTTATCCCAGGTTCTATATTTTTACACTTTTATTTCTCTTTATGATAAAAAAATAAATATCAATAGTAAAAAAATCCCTAAAAACACCCCTAAAAATATAAAGCCCCTAAAAAATCCCATCCGACTTATTTACCCCCTAAAGTTGGCAACACTGATCTAATATTTAGGATTTAAAAAACTTCACCTGATTGGTCTAAATTTTTTTTACAGGCTAGAAGAAAGTTTTGAGCATCAATCAATTCATTAATTGATTAAGGGCCGTATGCAAAAACTTTGATTTTTTATATCAACTGATTTAGAATATCAGTGGATTTAGGTTTTTGCACGACATGGCAACATAGCACTTAAATCCTTTTTCTATGATTTAAACCAGTTTCATAAAGAAATCTGCTTTACCGACAATTTACATTATAATTATAACCCAAGAAAACCATGATGTATCATGCAAGAAAACCAATTACAGGAGGAGTAACTCTTCACCCTTTATCTAATCTATGTCTTCACCACAAGGCATAAAATCATAAGCTATATAAAGTAAACCTTTATTTATATTTTTATTATTTAATTATAATTTACAATATAAACTACTGAGTGTGTGCGTACGTTTTTTGGCGTGCCCCCACTTAGCAAGTTACTACTCCTGTATTTAGTCTTCTTGTTTTAACCGTTTAATGTTGACAGTTCGATTTGAAATTCAAATTTTGAATCCTTCAAATTGAATATTCGTTTAGTCAGAGCGTTTAGTGTTGTTTACTAACAAAATGGAAAATAAACAAAAAAGGGGACCTAAAGCCTCAGAGAAGGAGAGACAATTAATGTTGGAGTTGGTGGAAATGTAAGTTTTATTTAAGCATTTGTTCTAAAAATTACTAATTTATTTTGTCCAAATGTACTACCTTTACCTAAAATGAGTGACAACCCTTTCTCAACTATTATTATACGTATTCCATCTTTTTAGGCATAAAGCTGTTTTGGAAAATAAATGTACAGATGCGACTAACAATAAAAAAAAACAAAAGGCTTGGGAGAACATTGAATGCTTGTACAATAAAAATACTGATGGACCAAAGAAAACCAGACATCAGTTAAAAATTCTGTATTTAAATTACAAAAGAAATAACAGAAGAAATATGGCTGGGATAAATGTAAAAATCTATTTTATTTGTATAATATCACTAAGTATACCTACCTACCTAACAAATTTTAAATTTTAGAAGGAAGACTATATACAAAAAACAGAGACAACAGATTACAAAGTATGTAAGTTTATGCTTAATATACCTAAATAATGTATTTCTAAATTTAGATACATACTCCTATATTGTCCGAAGAAGAGGCGAGGATACTTGCTCTTTTAAAAGAGGAGATAACACCTGACCAAAATACCTTTGACGATAGTGCAAAATGGTTTGGTATGATTATTTTTTATAGTACAAGTCAAATAGTGCCCTTAATAAATTTGCAATTTTTGTTGTTTCAGTTGACAGGGTTGCCACCCATCTGGAAAACCTGGAAATGTCAGGGAATTTAAATTTTTTAGAAATGTCAGGGAATTGGCAAAAAAATCTACAAAGTCAGGGAATTCCTAAGTCGGTCAGGGAATTCGTTATTTATAAATAAAACTGGTCGACAAAATTTTCATTAAAAAAAAAAAATATATGTTAACGAGTGTCAAAATATGGCAGCACTATATGTCAAACTTATGAATATAACCTTAGAAGTGTATATCACGACTTATCACTATAACCTTTTAAGACTATAACCAACTATTTTTATGTTTAGGGTGATTATTATTTGTTTATTTTGTATATGGTAAGCATATTTAATAAAGTAATTAATTAATCAGTAATAGCATAATTAATAAATTAATTAATTCATCAGTAAAAGACTTTGAAAAATCATAGTTCCTGTTGATAAAAAACCGTTTCAAGCCAAATTTTTGATTTACAAGCAGTCATAGGCCACATAAAAAGTGCGGGCCATTAAAAACGGATTTCGGCAACGAAGAACACAAATTTGTCAAATTTTCTTAAAACTAAAGAACCAGATGGAAAATACTACTCTCTAAAAATAAATTAGTTAAAAATGACTAATTGTCATAGCAAAACAGCAGCCACTAATAATTCTAGTCATCAGCAATTTGTATCTCGGATATTTAGCAGTCAATTCCTATGTAAAATTGTCTGCTGAATCCGAATATGTCTTCAAAAGTTATAAAAGTAGGACAGTTTTTAAGATTAAGTCAATTTTCCATATAAGCCAGAAGAACCAATTGTTTTTGAATAATGACAAATGCTCTGTTATAGTCTTTTCCAGATAAAAGTTAAACACTTAAATACCTACTATCTTAATAATTTCAAGTTAAAATCTCTAGAGATGGTTAACGACCTTGGTGTTATTTTGGACAGCAAACTGCAATTTCACAACCATTTTGACAAAATGGTTGCGGAAGCAATGCAGATCACTGTTGGCTCTATTTACATCCCTGGTACGCTCTAAACTAGAATATGCTTCTACGATTTGGTCTCCAGTTTATAATGTTCACATTAATAGGTTGGAGGCCATTCAGAATAAGTTTATCCGTTATATGCGTTATAAGCTGTCTCTTCCACTAAGCACTGATCAAACAAGGCAGTATTTGGGGCTTAAAACACTTACACAGAGAAGAAAAGATATTGATGCAGCATTTTTTTATAAAGTGATTAATAATTTCATTGTAGACCCTGAGATACTGGCTTGTTTTTTTATGCAAATTCCTATAAGAGTCTTGAGAAAGTATCCCCTTTTACAAGTTCCATTATTTCATACTGTGTATGTTAGCAATTCGCCTATATGTCGTGTGACTAAGACTGTTAATGAGATGTCTGAGTGTAACTTTTTTGGTTTTTCAATGTGTACTTTTGGACGCCAATTAAATTGGATGTGATACTACATAATTTATATTTATTTTGAGTTATTTATTTTATTGGGGGTTGTTTTTTATGTACCTGTAAACTAATATATTGTTACTGCTTTTATTTGCGTTAATAAAGAAATTATTAATAATTATATATAATATAATAATTATTATTATTAAAATGGAATTGACTTTATCTCAAAAACTGCTATGACGGTCTTTTCGGATTCAGGGAACAATTTTACATGAGAATTGTTTGTTTTTTTTTTAATAAGAAGTATTGATATTTGTTTAATGTTTTTGAATTTTATAAACTTCAATAAAAGTTTAGTTTTTTAATTAATCGTTATAATTCCCCACCAAGAGAAAAATAAATTCTTTACTTGATTGCTTTGATTTTTAAAATTAAAAATTACAAAAATACTGCTTACGCAATACTTGAATGGCCCGATACTTAAAATTTAAAAAACCAACACTCAAAGTCCAGTTGAAAAAATCATTAAGGGTCAGGAAACCAAAAAGAAAACTGCTAGCGTCGACACATTTTGTCTGGAAAAAAATCAGGGAAGGTCAGGGAATTCCTGGAAAAGTCAGGGAATTTGGTTTAAACAAATCGGTGGCAACCCTGGTTGAGTAACTATGAGAAAGTGGGTCTCAGATATTATTATAGTGACCTTTTTAACCTTAAAATATTTTTTATTCAGATTTTTTTTAAATAATGTACATACACATCATTAAACTTTCAAAGTAGCAGTTTTAGTGGATGAAACATATCAGCCACTTATACTTGGAATTGTAAAGTGTATTGCGAAAATCTCAGTCACATCGTAGAAACATATCTATTTTGTGGAAGTGACTAAAATTGGGAACACTTTTTTAGTGTCAGTTACGTAACAACAACGTTCTTTGATTGTAACAGACACGTTTATACCACATTGTAATTATGTTATATAAAGTGGAGGTATAGTGGCCAAAACTACTATGGTATACTCTACTTTATATCCTTGTCTCTTTCTAGCATATTATTTATCTTATTATCTTTGCTTTCTCTGAAACTGAACATTAAACTTCAACATTCAAGGTTTGGGAAAAGTTCCAAAAACGTTCCCAAAACTGGTATAACCACTTTACTACTACTATCACTTTAAAGTAATTCTTAAGTGGTGTGGTTTGGTTTCCGTTACTATTTATAATACACTTCAAAGTTTGGACAACTTTAAGGTGGTGTAAAAAGTAGTCATAACATTTTAGATACCAGACTGATACACCAAAATTATATAAAACTATGAAATTGTATATTTTGGATATGTTTGATTCTTCTCCTGCTGATGGTAAACTTTGCCATGCAAAGATATTCTAAAAAAAACCCTGTATAATTTAAAAGATGTGCGAAAATAATATTTTTTACAAATTTATATAAATTTTTTAACTTTTATTTTTGGGTGAGACAAAATAATTTGTTGTAGTTAATAATTTTTTTATAAATGTTACAGGACCAGAAAAAGTATATGAATCCCCACAATGTTCCTCATCCCCTCAACCTGGTTGTTCTTACCAACAAGACCCTCCTGCACACGGTCTAGGCCGTGATACTGCTCCTGCTTCTGCTCCTGCTCCTAGAACCACAATTCGAAAAAAAAGGAAAACTGTTTTAAAAAAAACAAAAATGAATCCATACAAAAAACTTATTATTTCGAAAATCTGCCTGGTCAGACTACAAAGGCGTCTGGCCATTAAGGAGGATAATAGAAAAGAGGCTGAACATGCTTTAAAAATAAAAATCCTCCAGGCAGAATTAAAGAAACTAGAAAATTGAAATAAATATTTTAAAATACAATTTTGATTTTATTTTTCCCTTGTGGTCCTAATTAAAACCTTAAGACAAAATTATTTTTTGAATATGCTCAATATTATATCATATTATAATAATTGACGACCTTGCTGCAAGAAGGTTGCAGCTCCAAAAATATACATTCTGAGAAAAACGAAAAAAACGTTCTAAATTTTTGTTTCAATGGATATGCAATTTTTAGTTTTATCTAACAAAAGTACTTCCCTTAAGAGAAATACACACCAAAAATCTTGTAAAAAAAATTAAACCCAAAGCACATAATTCTGATTTGTTTACCGGAGCTACCTCCTTAAGGATTCTTGCCCCAGCGATCCAAAATTATAATTTATACTTAATTTCAAAAATAAAAAACATTCTAGAAACATTTTTCAGTTGATTTATTATAATAATAATAATAATTATGGTGAGGCGCGCTGAAAAACTAACTTTTTTCGCAAACTTCAATTTAAATTCTGCTGTTTGGCAACATATAAAACCCAATAAAAACCGGTACCAATACACATATTTAGTCCGGTACAAAGTTTGTACTACAAACCATCCCAGCAAACCAGGCTGTTCCATTTACATAGCCATGATATAACTATAGTTATAGTTATAACAAAGAACATTGCCATATAAAATTGTTTACATAACATTTACATATTAGTTCTTTATTTTGTTACATAATTATGATAAAACATAGTAATATAACATTTATATAAATATGTCCCCCTCTTGTTATATTTACATCTCCCTTATGTATCAGCCATATAACAATGTTATATATCTACAATGGAAAAATGATACATCATTGATATATGGCAATGTTTTATAGTATCCATATAACCTTATTATATGGTATTTACATAGTTTTTCTTTATTTTGTTACATAATTATAATAAAACATTTTAATATAATAGTTATATAAAAATGATCCGTTCTTGTTATATTTACATCCCTACCTACTATGTCATGGCTATGTAACAATGTTTTATACCTACATTGTAACAATGATATATAAATGTTATATATTAATGTTTTATAGTATTTATATAGTAGCCTTTTTATCTTACTAACGAACTCGTTTAAACGGTTGTGTCGAGTACTCGTACGTGCTCTCTATTGTGTTTTAAGTTAAGTTAAATTTGATTCCATTGTTTTATAATAAAATGGAAAAATATATTTCCCTATCCTGGAGGCAAAAGCGGAGGAGAATTAATGCAGATCTTAAAATAATGGGCGTGAGGGTAAGAAATTGTATACAAAATACCCAAGACAATGTGGAAAGTGTACCTTTGCCAGAATATACTGAGGCTAAAACCGAAGTATTATCTTCCCCTAACCAGCCAATAAATAAACAGCTCAATAAAAATATTTTTACAGAAAATTTGGGAGAATATTCAGGAGGTCATAGGGAAAATTCCCATACTTTTGTGGAAGATTTGCAAAATTTGTGTAATAGATACTTATCTAGTCAACTTTTTATTAATGATCTGTTAAAAGTTTTGAGAAAACATTATTGCAAAAAACAGTAGAGGCTGAATTTGTAGGTATATAAAGGGCGATTTTAAACCTGTTTGATAATGTTAATTTGTTTTTAAAACAGGGTGCTAAAAAACAAGCGACAAATTATAATTTAATGATATTTGGTAGCCAAAATAAGAGTTTAATATCTATAAATTTTAAACTTTGTACTGTTTTTTCAACTGGTAAATTTATCCTTAAGGATACAAGAATCAGGGCCGGCGTTAGCTTATTAGAGGCCAGGTGCAAAAGAAAAATGCGGGGCTTGAACTAAGAATTTACTCTTAAAAATTAATAAACCAATAAAACATTTTTAAGTCAAAATTTTTTAAGCGTGTTTCCGGATAGTAGAAAATTTTGACTTAAAAATGCACTTGGGTGGTTCAGCTTTTCCCTTCAATTAATATAGAAATTAACGTTTAAGAAAAAATCACACATAATTTTTCCCTGCTTTAGCGGAAGCTCTTTTCCAACATCCTCCCCAGCAAACATTTATCAGCGGCATTTGGGAGGCTGAACGTCAGCAAGCGATAATGACTACGTTGGCCCGCCGTTGATTTACGACAATCGGCCCGCCGTCAATAGGAGACAAGTGTCAACGGTCAGCCAACGATCAAATGCCGACATTGGCCTGCTGTTGTTTTTAGACATTGGCCCGCTGTTGTTTTTAGACATTGGCCCGCCGTCAATAGGAGACAAGTGTCAACGGTCAGCCAACGATTAAATGCAGACATTGGCCCGCCGTTGTTTTTAGACATCGACCCGCCATCAATAGACGATGTTTATTAACTATAGTTAATAAACATATATATATATAAACGTATATAATATAGAATCTATATTATAGATATCTAAAGTTTTTTTTCGGGGTTTCAAACAAGCAGGGAAAATCATAAAAAATTATATTGGCTATATATATTGTACTTACCATTTAGGGACAAACCCTACTAAATTTTGGCTTTTTGAAATTTTCATGTGCATTAATAAAATTGTTTTGTAAAATTTGAGTTTTTATATTACCTGACAATTATTGTTTTAATTTCGATAAATTTAGTTAATAAAAGGTAATAAATCATTATTCATTTAAACAAAAAGTATATAAAAAAATGTATTTCTATTAAATAAAATATATCTTTAAAACTCTTAATTATAAAATAAAAAAAAAACATTTTTACAAAACTAAAGTAATAAAATCATTATAATTATTTCTGTAGTAGAGAAGAGTCTCTTTGTCTTCTTCCTCCTTCCCTATCACCAGCTGTCCTTAACCAACCTTTGATGACACTTTCCACCTCTGTGGTGGATGCATCTTTTGTAAGGTTGTTTAACCTTAGTGAGCCTTAAAATAAATATTAAAACACTTAATATACTTGTACAAATAAAAGTCTTACCTATTATGAGGTTAACTATATTATTTATAGGTCACAAATGGGCTTTTTGCTCCTTTCCCCTTCCAGTTGTATTGTTTAGCCAAACTGTTGGATAATATTTTAGATAGTATTCTTCTTGTGGAATCAACTATGTCTTTTCTCCCAATAAGCCTTAGTTTTGAGCACTAAAATTGAGATTAATAATAACTAAATTAAAATTTAATATATCATGGAATATAGGTAAAAAACAAATTATATATATATCAAAATATTTTAAGTTAAGTTGCTTACGAGGCCGTTAGGCCGAGTGTGTATTAACACGAGCTTGAAGAAAGCTTTTCTTACAAGTAAAACACAATGTTTTTTCTACGACCCTTTTATTTTTTATTATATTCAAATACAAAAAAAAATAACCTAAAAACGTGTTTGACAGCTCTGTTAAAATTACTTTCATCTTATTCTTTTAATTTTTAACGTATAAGTTACTTAAAATCAATAAACTTACCTTCTCAATTTAAATAAAGGCACTAAAAATTAGAATTTATTATAAAAACACAATAAATTGTGTTCTAAATGATATTTACAAATACAATACAAATTTTAAAAAGAATGTCAAACGATGCTGTCAATTTCTTTTCACACAGACCTGTCACTTTTCACACTGAAATGTCACTTTACATTCGTGTTTTGCCTTGCCAATGAAAAGATTCATTTTCTAAGCATGCCAATACGAAATGTGACTTTTACATAGTGGTCGTAGAAAAAAAACATTTCATTGTAAAATTTTAGCCTTACATATGTATACAAATTTACTTACTTGTTTTCCTGTGACATGGTGATCAACTAACACAGGCAAAAACCACTGAATTGTTAAAAAAAACTTACTAACACTCAAAGAACAATAACAAAACAATGTTTAATCCTTCACGTTCCATGGCCGGTTACAAAAGATTCTTTGAAAAGAACGACGCCGCGCAGTTTATATACGCACCATGCAGAACACGACACTGCCGCGCCGTTGCCAAATTCTTATTAAATTTTTTAATATTTTATTTACATTTTTATGGTCTTGTATTATTAATAAATAAACAATTAAAACGCCAAATACATTTTAAAAATTCTAGAAATATTTTATGAGAAACTTTCTTTGAAAATTAGTTAGTATATTATACTTTCCAAAGCTTTGGTGCTGCATTGTGCAAATGATTAATCATAATTATAACCTTGAAAATGATTTTACGCGTGAGTTTTCAATTTTTAGTGTAATTTATAAGTGTATTCTTCATTAAAAGTAACTAAATTTTATTAAAAGACTCAAAGTTTGAGTATTTTACGGCTGTCTGGCAACACTGTAGATTGTGCTCTAACCTTAAAACCACTCAACGTTAAAACTTTAAATTAGTAATTTTTATTTAAATAATTATTATGTATTTAGTATTGATGAAAAGTTTTTTTATGCAGATATTTGATAACATTAACAATTCATAAAAAGGAATTTTCTAAAAATTTCTAAAAACAATTGTATTAATAGGTCCGGTAATTTGATGTCTTAAAGCAGCGGCGGGCCGATGTCTTTAAACCACGGCGGGCCGATGTTTTTAAGGCAACGGCGGGCTTATATATACGAATAAAACAGCAATTTTACGTTGGCACTTTTTTGCTCTATTATGATAGTATAAACTAACTTTTTTCAACATAAAATAAAATTGTTTTTAAAATATATATTTTTGACCTAAAAACTTTAATAAGCGGCATTATGTCGGTCCGACGTCGGCAAGACGATCATTTTCATGTCGGCTGGTGGTTATTTTAATACATATGTATTAAAATAACCACCAGCCGACATGAAAATGATCGTCTTGCCGACGTCGGACCGACATAATGCCGCTTATTAAAGTTTTTAGGTCAAAAATATATATTTTAAAAACAATTTTATTTTATGTTGAAAAAAGTTAGTTTATACTATCATAATAGAGCAAAAAAGTGCCAACGTAAAATTGCTGTTTTATTCGTATAATCAAATGCCACCGTTTTCCTGACGGCGGTTGTATGTTGTAATTTGATGTCTTAAAGCAACGGCGGGCCGATGTCTTTAAACCACGGCGGGCCGATGTTTT